TTTTTTATGTCTTTTATCATATAAATTGTTATTTTTAGATAAAAAAAGATATGTTTTTAACTTTAATAGGTAGGTGATACATAGTAGAGGCCACGTGCCTCATAGAAAAGAAGACATAGAGGGCGTATCTGCATAGCATTAAAAATTGACTACTTCATTAAATCGTCACTAGATGCCCAGCTAGCACGAAAACATCCCATCTTCGTTAATAAGCTGCAATTTTAGGCTCTGTAAGCTCGCATGCGATGTACTTTTAATGTAACCCTAATATCCATGCAACCTCCGAATATCCGCAACGGCAAGACTTTTATAGCACATCTCGTAGAGTTTATAAAGTGAAGTTCGGAAAACATCACACTAGCACTTTTACGGTACTTACCCGGAAAGTTGCTCTGAAACTTTCTATAGATGTTATAATGTGAATTCATTCTACAGCATTATACAGTGTGTCCACGGATGGACTTATCAATACTTGTACAAATATTTATTTTAAATTTAAAAGTACTTCTTCATAATTTCTTTTGCTTGTTAAATAAATACGATTAACGTTAAGAAATTATGAAAAAGACCTCTTTTGATACACTATATTCAAAATAGTATATTGAGGATATAGTAAAATCTGAAGAAAACAAAATAAAAAATTGTATAAATTTATTATTAAAAAGCTTTCGAAATCAAGTACCAATATCATACAAGAAGAGGTAGGTATTAATAAAATATGTAACAAAACACTGACAAATTAAACAAAAGTAGGCATAAAGGGTATATAAGGGATTTCTCAAAGGTTCACTAGAATCGAAAACCCTGAACGCTTGCACGAAAGAGTATAAAATGGTGAACGATTGTACAAAAATAGTAAAAAGTGTATTTACATAAGGTATATTTCAAAGGTCACTAGATTTTTATTAAGATGGCAGTTGTACGATGCTAAAAAAAGATATTTGCCTACAACTGGTACTAATCATAGTTTTAATACGATATAACTTGCTTGAACTGAATATCGATAAATGTAAAGTCATAAAGTTTAATAAAACAGCTAATATCATTATGCATTATTATGTCATTGCAGGTTCTGAACTAAGTATTGAGCAAACTATAAATGATCTTGGTGGTATTTTTGAGAGGGACCCTATAAGAGTTTGGAATGCAGACGTCGAGAAACATCGCTTGTTTTCCTGTATAAGTTATTGAACGGTTTGATTGATAGTGACAGTCTGGTAACATTTTATTAGATTCCTTGTTCCTGCCAGACTTACTAGGCAGATGAAACTGTTTTATGTAAATGCTCATAGAACTAACTATGGACAGAATTTATTTGTAGACCAACTGATGTCCAATTATAATAAGTATTTTTCAAATTATCTAAAGCTCGGATTATAGGCAAAATGCCTTTTTTTTTCCTATTATGCCTATTTGATGTGTTTTCTGTACATTTTGCCTTTTTTCGTAAATTCCGGCTATTTATGCCTTTTTTAAAAAATTTTTGCTACTACCCATGTTATTATTCATATTACTATTACTAAACCTTTCTATAACAACATTTTGGGTCAATAATAGAATATCAATGGTTTGTTGATAATGGATTTCTAGGAAAATGTACCTGTTAGAGATTAAGGCTTAGGAATCCCTAATCTTTTCCCCTTTATAACGGGGTAAATCGAATTGCAGAAGAAATAGGAAATCTGTTTCCATCTGTGAATGATTATATAAATTGTATGAAAAAAGTTCCTAAAGGCTCCGTTGAGGGTGCAGATATATGAAGAAAAACTGCCCGGTGTCCCTTTGCCACCTAAACCAGTAATTACAAGGTGGGGAACGTGGCTCGAAGCAGTTTTCTTTTACTTTGAACACTGCGATGAAATACAATTAGTAATGTCAGAATTTAATGATAATATTTCCGAAGCCATTCGATAAGCAAAAAAAATATTAAAAAATCCGAAATTAAAACAGCAACTAGCTTATATCAATGGCAATTATAAATTAATAGTTAGCACAATTACCTTATTAGAACGACAAGAGGTAAATTTATGTGAGTAATGGTCAATTAATTTTTAAAAAAATAAAAGATGTTTTTAACAAGAATGAAGGTTTCTTGTTTTTGTCTAATGTTGCCAAAATTTTGAATGGGACATTTTCCGAAGCACTACAAATTCAGCCAGATTTATTATCCGCTCTTAAATATGCTCCAATTACATCTGTCAAAGTAGAGCGTTCATTTTCAATGTACAAATTAATTTTAAGTGATAGACGACAAAGTGGTTACAATGTCTAATTATTATTTAACAATTATTTAGTTATTATGTTGTGTAAATATATTTTTTGTGTTAAGTTAATATTAAGTTAATTCACTTTGTATAATAAAAAAATAAGTTATTATTAAAAATTATGGATTTAAAGACATTTGCCTATATTGCCTATATGTTGCCTATTTGTTCAGATTTTTGCCTTTTTCAATAATTTTTTTTGCCTATATAGGCGCCTTTTCCTTCATTTTTTTTGCCTATAAATCCGAGCTTTATATGACATTTTAAAAGGTTTATTTTTTTTTAAAGCGACAACTTTTATTACACTAGTGACTTCATTTTTATACTGTGACAATTTTATTAATTTCTTTTTTATTTTATTTTGATATTTTAACCATTTAGAACTTTATGTATCTGTAGCGTACAGTAAACAAATAAATATGTAAACTTACTTATATAGTTTCTTCCGTAAAAATAACTTTGTAGATAATAAATTTACTTGTTTAATTATTATTAAGAAAATAATAGATATAAAGAAAATGAAAAATATGCTCGTTTAAATCGATGCACCTATTTTTAGTTGTTTTTTACTTACTTTGTTTTTTTAAATAAATAATAACATTTATTTTGATTTTGACAAATTTGATACTTAACAATGGATGTTCAACTTATACAGAACAATGCTTTTTAGCATGATATTCTGCTATGAAAGAAAAAGAAATAATTTCATATGTTATATATTCTTCTTCAACCAATTCTGTATTATTACCTTTAGCTTCTAAAATTCCTGAGATTTTTACTAGAATTATAATCCAGCACAAAGGAAACCTACAACACAATATTGTTAAAATTTATTTTTAGTGATTAAAATATTATTACACTAGGGCGACCATACTTACAGCAATTTTGCTGTATTGTAAAGCATTTTTAAAGTTTGTCCAGCAATTGATATTGTGCAGCAAACATACAGCAAAACGGCATAGGTATATGTCCAGTGAAATACTGTATTTATCCACTAAAACGTCACTACTGTCCAGCAATGGTAATACTTAATTTACTGAAACGTAACAAATTTAAATGTTATTTATCTTTAGTGAACTACATGAGCACTTCTATACTGCCGTCCTAGCAAGAAAGGTTATTTATTTGCTTTTGTCTACATTTTATTTTTCTCGATACTGAAACGGAATGTCTTATTTGCATCAAATGTTAAAAAGTTACACAAAAAAGGTTTAAAAGATAATAAATATAAATTTTCAGATAGGACTTCTCTTTTTAGGATGGCAGTATATGACTTCTCGGTTTTTGTATTTTTTTAGTTGTGAGTAGGGTTATCAGTATCGGTCAAAGGTATCAATACCGGTATCATGTGAGATACTTTGTGGTAGACGCATCGATACTGTTCTATAATATGTTAAAGATATCGATATTTTTTAATCTCGAGTAACAAAGTATCGAATAAATAAAAGATTTTTTTTAAATGGCTGACACCCCCATTCAACAGGACAGAGTGGGGAACTTAACTTAAAACAAGAGTGCATCAGTAAAGTATATTCTGTAGTTGACACCTTTTGTTTCTCTACTGGTACTCTACCTGGTACAAGTTATAGTGTCAATAACTGGCAATTTACCTTATAATTAAATAAAAAAAAAAAACAGTGGTAACGCTTAATCATATTACCAAGTTTCACCACATGCGAAAACTAAAATATTTCGGTACAAATATTTGAACAAACCTTGTTATCCCTGATCACACACATATTAATACGATACTTGCTTCTAAGTATCGCCATGGCGATAGTATTGATAATTCAGTCTCAGTGCCTAAATATCGATACTTTCATTGTTTAATATCATTACTTCTATAGTATTGAGGCATCAATAAGATCCCTATTATCGTGTAAAATATAGGCATTCATTTAATTGTATCTACTTTTTTACAATGATTTATTTTTTATTGTAGTTGGAAACTGAAATATTGCAATCTAAAACAACAGACAATAAATTAGAAAATATGTTTCTATTTCTAAGAAGAAAACAACTTACCAAACTTATTCAAATGTATAAATAGTTTCCAATTTCTTTAAAATTTTAAATGCATACAAGAAAAAGTGACAAGTGACATTTTTTTATGTTTTGTTGGTTATGACAAATGAATGGCTACGTTCGAAAACAAGATGATATCCATAGTAATTCTTGTGGATACTTTTTTAGCAAGTTACTTTATTACGTTGTGTTATCATAACAGGCAGGTTAAATACGTAAGTAACAAATAGATGTTTCGCGAGGTTTTGATTTCCCTCAGAAACTTCTCATGAACGTTGCAATTACGTTGTATGGTTATGTTATTACCTTCCCTTAAAACAACATCGCCGAAAGGCTTGGCAACGTTATGTGCTAGCTGGGTGCCGCCCGAGATTGCATCCAACAATTTTTACTGTTGCATTATCCTACTATAATATCTTCATACAACGGTAATACGATGTTACCGCTCAGTCATGGTAGGGGAAGCAAAAGCGATACTAGCGCTAGCTGCGAATAATTCGTGCATTTTAAGGCGATATTTTGTAATTTTGGCACATCAACTACACATTTTACTTTTTTTCAAAAAAATGGATAAACACAATACAATAAGCAACCGGAGTTGCTGTGCTGTAATTGTAAAAATACTAGCAAAAAAAAAACCTTGTAAATTATCAAACTGTTCAGTAGCAAAGTGGAAATTAAATAAAAGAAATCAATAAAGAGAAACATTACCTTTATTTGTGTAGTAATAACAGTAATACTGGAAATGGCAGTAGAGATCAGAAACTTAAAAGGTTTTAAATAAACAATAAATTATCATTTTACAATGTTCTTCAACATCCCTTTAATCTTAAATGTTTGTTTATACATTTTAACTTGACGCTATTATTTAATGGTATTATTTTATTTTGACAGAATAGCTTAATTCTTTAAAGACAACTTATTAGACTTAGGCAACTTCTCATACATTTTCCCGTAAATACTGTTGCCTGCCAATATTTTATTAATATTGATTATACTTAGTTTTTTTTTAGTTTAAGCAATAAAAATATATAATAATAATAAATTAATGTTTCACTTGTTTTACATTTCCTATTTAGCATATTTGTTTAATAAAAGGCTCATGGATTGTAATAATTAAAATCTCGGGGGGACATAGCCCCATTGCTCTCTCCCTGGAGCCGTCCTTGGTTGGCCATCAATTAAGAACATCAGGTATTTAAAAATTAAACTTTCCTTATAATATATTTTTTTATACAAATTGCAGATCTTTCGGCGCATTTAATAAAAAAGCATTCAGTATCAAAGAATCAAAATAAAACATTATTTATTTACTTGATACCATCATTTGAGCCGATTGAACTGGTCTTTCCATTCAAAATATCTTGAATTTCCTCGAGAGATTTTCCCCTAGTTTCTATCACAAAAAATTTAATAAACAAACAAGAAACGAAACAACATCCTGCAAAGAAAAGAAAAATGCTTCCAATGCCAACAGCATCGACAGCAGAATTAAAAAATTGTGCAATTAAAAATCCAATGCCAAAATAAATCGATATCAAAGCTGAAATTGTAAATATTTTAACTCTTGCTGGCATTATTTCGCCTGGTACCAACCAGCACAAAGGGCCAAAACCAAAATTATAACTCATTGTGAATATTGTAAGAGCTAGAATTGGAATAAAATTTATCGAATCTGAAGTTTTACCGGCATCTTTAAAAATGCAGTAAATTCCTAACGATACTTCGGAGATTATCATTCCTAATCCGGAACTTAACAAAATAGACTTTCTGTCAAATTTTTGCGAGATAAACGGAGTAAGTCCACCACTAAATAGTTGTATAACCGCTATAATCAATGAACCAATTTCTGGTGATAAGCTAGAACCAGTTAGTGCAAAAATACTTTGGCTATACATTAGTATTGCATTGATTCCAGTAAATTGCTGACCAATCATCAAACCAATCCCCGTAATAAGCGCTTTTATGTACCCCTTTGTTTTAAAAATGTCCATAACATTCCCTTCTTTTTGTATTCTTATTTGCTCCTTCATTTCTTTAATATCATTTTCTAAATCGTAATTAGAGCATCTATAAATTTTTAAAACCTTTTTCGCTAGTTCCTCTTTATTTTTCAACAGAAAAAAATAAGGCGATTCTTCACAAAATATCAAACTGGTAACTAGAAATGCTATGGGGAATGTTAACTCAATTGTATTAAAAGTTGTTACTGATACGTAAGGTCCGATAGCGTAGCAGAAGATAGCTCCAGCACTAGACATCATAGCACTTGCTGTCATAACGACTCCTCTGTTTTCTTTGCTCGTTATTTCTCCTAGATACGTTAACATTAAGTTAAACGCTCCACCCAAAGCCACACCTTGCAAAAATCTAGCTGCGTAATATACTTCGAGTTTATGTATTGCTGCCATCAGTACATAGCCTAAGGATATAAACACTCCAAGAGAAATGTATACTATTTTTCGTCCGATAACTTCTGATACGGCTCCAAAAATCCAGCATCCGATTACAGCGCCTAGGGTGACCAAAGATGACAACCACGATTCTTGACTTGATGTGATAACTTTTCCAAATGGATTGTCAGATGTAACGTTTTCGAGCTTAGGAATTACTGGAGAACTCCAACTTAGCAAATTTCCAAGACTCAGTGATAGGAAACAAGCTGAAACAGAGAAATGGACATATAATCTAGTTCTGCTAGTACATACGAGTATGTGTATTAAGCCAACAATGTCCGTATTGGATATTCTGGCTTAGTATAGATGGTCTAAGATCCGAAGTAAGGTCGACCTTCACCAATCTGTTTAACAAATGAAAGTTTCTTTGTATTAAATAAAGTATCTTTATAAATATACCGCAAATGGGTTTCTTAAGGAAACACGATCATTTTTTTTTTTTTTTTAGTAAAAAAACGGCACCCTGTAAAAAGTATTCCCCAAATGCTTCGACTATGCCCAAACCTTAATCACGTCGATTCATTTCATTGAAAACAATTTGCTTATAATCCGTGCAATAAAATTTTCCAAGTTTTTAATGATAATGTGAAAGTATGATTAGTTATTATCGAATATGTTTATATTCAATTCATTCTTACAACATTGCTGTTTATAATTATAACTCAATTTCCTTATAATTTTTTTGATTAATCTGAAAAGCATGATTTAATAACACGTTGTAAAATGACAGAAACGGCCGCCATTTTTAGTCCATTTCCCAGCCTTACACGGATGTGTGAAAGTCGACCTCACTTACGGATCCTGTACTAAGATGCTCATGAGGTTTAGCGATAGTCCTTTTTTGAATTCCCTGTTCTTGTGATTTACTTGCTTGATTGAGTAATTTACATGGTTGACGTCATATTTAATAATAATATAATAATAATATTACTCCCTAATTCACCCCCTTACGAGTGAATTTCAACCCCTAAAGCCGACTGAGTGACTTGTGTAGGGGAAGGGACGACTATTATTATTATTATTATTTTCCGTGGCGCTGCGGGACGACTTAAAGATGATTGATGGTGTCATTTGACTATAGGTAAAAAAATACCAAAATCCCACCCACCATCATCTAAATGGTAACGCATTAGGATTTAAAGCTAAGTGTCTCTCTACCACAAAATTTTCCGCAAAAGAATGCGAACGCCGTAGACACCTACGCTATCATTACTTACTATGAAAATAATGGTAAATGTGACTTCAATCATGTAAATTTTTCAGATCATGACGCTTTTTAAAGCCCCCTAGGAAGGCGCCATCTAAATAAATAAAAACAATAATTATTAAATAAAAAAAAATTAATTCACAGAAAGAAAAGCAAAATGATATTCATTCTGACATTACAAAAAATTAAGTAAGTACACGTTTAAACTAATATAATATTTGATTATTATAAATATGATTGTATCAGTAGGTAGGTACTGTAAAATGGCAAATGAAACTAATAATAAACTCATCAGTACTAAATTAAAAGTAGCTTTAATAATTTATTAGTGACTTCCTTAGGCCTGTTTCGCACAGCACAGTTTTTCAAAAGAATGTTTTATATTACAAATAGCCACTTCCAGTCTTTTGTCTATATTCAGTCGAGAACTATATTTTGTCTTTAAAGCAGCCACCGCAGAAAATCTGATTTCGCCAAGGTACGATATTGAAAATGGCAATAATATACGAAATACTCTTGTTTTCAGTGGAGAAAAGGCATCATCCACTCCCGCCCAAAATTCAAAGAGAGATTTATTACTAAATTCACTTCTAATTTCGCCGCTTGCAGTAAAGTCTATGTAAATTTCTTCTTCTGTAGTTGAGATACCTTCGAGAGTAGTTCGAAATGGATCCCTAACCCACTCGTAACTTGCTACCAATTTGTCGTCAGCAAGAAATTACCTTTTAAAATTCTGTGCCAACATGGCTAAATGGCTTTCCACAGCTCCAACTTTCTACAAAAAGCACTAACTTTATCACTGGTATCCAACATATATGTATGTTTGCTCTTTGGAGTTGTAGATTCAGGGTATTTAATTTCTCGAATGTGTTGACCAAGTAACTCAATTTAATCACAAATAAAGTATCTAGAAACTTTTCGCCTTCCGGGCGGTTTTTCTCTTCTAGAAAAATGGAAATTTCCTCTTTTAACTCAAAAACACGTGAAATTTTCCCACGCGATAGCATCTGATCTCGCAATAAAATAGCAACGTCAAATGTTCTGCATCCATATCTTTGCAAAGTGCATTTTAAAGGTCTCATTTTTATATAATATACTACAGTTACAACCGTCGTTAGCACAATGCTGAGACCAGGACTTATTTATTTGGAAGCCAGAGCCTCTCTGTGAATCATGTAATAGGTCCAGACATATTGCGGAGATTTTTGTTTTACAAATGCTGGTTGGTACACTTTAAAATTTTTTCAGACAGTGTAAGAGCACCATCGGTGAATATTCCAATGCAAAATTATTTAAAATATCAAAGTAAATGATTGCTGTTGCTTTAAGTTCTATAGGTTAGCAAAAAAGTAGTTCTTCTATTGTTGAATCGAAAACAAAATGTCACGCAACTTTTTAAGAAGCCGACATCTTCGGCTATATCACCAATTCGGCGGACAACAGTAACATTTGAAAGAGATATGAATTGCAATTGTTTGGCAAAATTATCTTCAAACGTAGTGTCCACAATCTGCATCGTAGCTAGCAGAATAGCGTCTTTACCAATGGTGTGAGGCTTATTTACTTCTGACTATTTTATAAACTTTGTAAGAAGCAAGTAAAGCTTTTTTTTCACAGGAAAACTTTTTCTGAAAAATGGTGTTTGCACTTCATATGGATTTAATTTTAATTTAAAAATTCTCGGTGCTTGTTAACGTACTCACTATGCAGTTTTTTCAAATGGCGTCTAAGTTTATTAGGTTTTATGCTGTATGGTGGCAAAATGTTTAACAAATGATGTATATAGGTCTTTCTTCTTCATTTATTTAGTAGTGGTAAATCCAAAATTTAGGTATTCTAAGGAATGTTTTCTTGATTTCATCTTCAAAACCATTGTCGACTATGCACTTGTTGATGCATCACTATTCACGGTACAGTTTACACAAAACTTACAAAATTTGGCACCGTGACTCGACTAAAACTGATCGGAACCTCTAACAGCCGCAGAATTTATTCACTTTGCTCCGCTGTCGAGCAGATCATTTACACTATTCCAAATCAACTCGAAACCATTGTCGAAACTTTTCGTAGCGACAGTAAGCCGCGAGAAGGTTCGATATCCGTCATAAATGACAGATGGCAGATAAGAAACGTCGATTCTGGCTTTACACTTTACCTATATGGGATGTAGCGAAGCGGCATTGCCAAGTTTTTCTCGGTAATTTTGAATCTCTGTAATTAAGTTCTATATTAGGGCTCTAGGTCTGTAGTCTAGAGTCTAGGGCACTAAAAACACGCTGCATTAAGGGGGTTGGGGTCAATATTTTCAACATATAATATAGGTACATCGTATTTTATTATTATATGAAAAAGAAAGATAGGGGGGGCGCCATAAAAATTGTTATTGAAAATTGAGCCCCGAATACTGAAAGGTTAAAAAAAGCTGATTTTAGTGATTGTTTTTTTTATGTTGAACATAATGGTCACTAACCAAACTTTTTTGTGTCTATTCACTTTTTATTAATGACAAAGGCAAAGGCTTTAAAAAGCAATAGTTAATATTTACTAATTGCTTTCAAATCTATTATTTGTACTATATGTACAAAATGATATAGATAATCTAAATAATTGATATATTACTAATAAGTTGCCTCTTAACATTCAAAAATGCCTCAACAAATTACATTGTGTCCTCATTTTCTAAAATCTACAAAAAAGATTTCTAACTATATATAGAGATTAACGGCGATAAGGATTTTATCATTTCTCAAGATTCAGGTCATCCATGATATTATTACATAAATCAAACACATGGTTCAAGAAAAATTAAATTCATCGGAGTTTGCTGTTCTGTGTGTATGCGAAAACCAGAACATTTTCCGTATTATAGAATTTTTGTAAATCGTACATTGTAAATGAACAGCCATTTAGGCCCCTGTTGTTTCTTTATATTTGAATTCTATGGGTATTCCATTCAAAGGAGGGTATCGTTTTTTGGTTTTTTTGCGACCCCGTCGAAATTTTTCTTACTAAATGATATTAAAAAAAAATGTATTTCCCAAATTTTTTTTCTTTAAAACGTCCCGGAACATACCTTTTTTAATTTTGAAATATCTTTTTCGACATAATTACAAGCCTGACAAGGAGAATTCGGTAACATGGCGGCCGGCTTTCATGTAGGCTGATATTTGACTGGTGGCACATGTTTATCAAGTGATAATGTATTAGTTAATATGTGTTTCACAATTTGTACATGTAATCCACAGAGAAATATAAACTTATTAACCAAAACATAAAACATACTTCGTCCTAAATCTAGTGTTTAGTTGAACGTTAAATAAAAGCTTAAGTAGGTCCTGCCAGTATTGAGATAAAGGATACAGTTAATAAAAGACGTATCAGGTATTAGCATTTTAGTTCAACATTTAGTTCTACACAATCTACACTGTCAAGGTGAGTAATGAATAATGTTTATTTTTAATTTGTCATTTGTTAGCAAGCTTGTAAGTTATTATAATTTATATAGTGAAATCTGAAATCATTAACCTAATATCTACTAGTAACTCCTTTGATCTTTATCTTTTTTAGGAAATTATAGATAGACGATGATATTAAATAAGTCATTTTCAGATGAGCAATAACAAAAGTTTTTGATAATCAAAATAACAAATTACTTTGCTACTGTAAAACATGAGAGCTGAGTACTCCAAGCTTTATTATTCCTAGACAAATGGCCCTAAATCATTTGAATATCTGTACTAAGCTGTGATATCTAATAGCAAATGATGAACGTTTACCAAATATTAACAAGAATGTAAGTAATTCAAATTGTAGTATTGTCCTCTGCTCTTACCAGAAAACAATATAAGAATTTGTTGGTTTACATTTTCAATTTAAAATAAACTATAGTTATTTTTGAATACAAAATTATTTTAGATTTTTTGGAATTAATTCAATTGGCAGATGAAAAATAATAGGAGTAGCAATTTATTAAGTTAGTGGCATTTTAATTGTGCTTGT